AGGCTAGGAGCAAAGTGTGTGGACACAGACATCAGAAGGTGGAGCCTGGCTTCCACCCAGCTTGAAGTGCCATGGACATGTCGTCTCCATCGCATTGTCCTCAGGAACCACAACCACAGAGGCTGCATCTGTCTTTTTCTGTGTGTGTCAAAAGCAACTATTCCCTTTAGACACTGCCTGTGTATTTTCATATCTGAGGAGGCAAGCGCTTCGCAGCCTCCTAATGTAGGACGTTAGAACCACACTACGGGAGGATCCCTTTGCTGAAAGAAATAGGTTACCAAAAGAATATATATAAAGGAATGTATATATATAGAGAGAGAGAGAAGAGAGACAGAGAGTCTGATGACTCACACATAGCAGACATTAAAACACCAGCAGAAAAGACCAACAATGAAAATAATGTACTGACAAAATTTAAGTCAATGACGTGTTTGATGTTACACAACTGATTTCCTTTGTGGTGACTGTTGTGTTTTTAACTGTGCTTTGATCACTGCTGCCGAAGACAGCTGTTTCCAGAACCACAAGAGTGCAAAGCACGTACCTCCGTCCTGCGCTTTTGATAACAGTGATCAGTCATCTTCGCCCATGGTGGAGTTCCTGCATTCTCTTATTAGTTATCTCAGCATCGGAAAAACAAATCCTCAAGCTAGGTTCCTCATTTACTGCGTTAACCTATTATTCAATAATAATGCTCCTTACAGAGCTGCATTAATTAAAAGTAAGCACCACAAGGAAACTGTCACTTCAGGTGTCATTTGTCACAACAACCTGATGTTCTTTTCTTTCTGTCATTTTTAGAATTTTGGTTACCTTGGTAACCCATAGCAACTTTTATATATAGCATCAGTTATATTCAGCTGGTTCTTTCTCTCTTTTTTTCTTTCTCTCTCTCTCTCTTTCTTTCTTTCTCTCTCTCTTTCTTTCTTTCTTTCTTTCCTTTGCACCATAAGGAAGACCAGCTGTTTTTCCTCCTTTTAATAAAGCTCACAATGTGGTAGAATAATCAGGCGTACTGATAGGTTGACCCACAAAGGAATAGTACATGTTAAATGAAAAATTACTATCTTGCATTTGTATATTAAAATGCTCTGTTTAAAAAATAAAAGCTCTAAGAAGTGAATCCACACTTAATCTCCCAGGTACCGGCTCATTAGAACCCTAGAGCCCCAGGATGTAATTAGTATTCTGCAATACAGCAGACAAGTAAAACAACTGTAGGGGCAAAGTAAATTCAGGCACACACGGCAAGCCATGTGCAGTCCTAAGTTGGCCCCTTGCCACACAGAGTTCAGAGCTCAGGACGCTGCCTGGGGCTCTTTTGGGTCCCACAATGATTCCCACTACTCCCCTAGAACCGCCTCTGACTTTGAGACCTGCAGTCAAGAGAAAGTGATCTTCTGAGGGACAGATCACATTCTAGAAGATTCCAAGGGACATACCACACAAGGAGAGGACAGCCGCATCTGAAGGTGACATCTACGTCCAGCCCCCTGCACACCCACAGGCAGTTCTTGGTTCCCCTGCAGTGACTCAGAGCTGGTGTGGATGATCCACAGGGGCTTCCGTGCTGGAAGCAAGGTACTTGTGGTGGTGGAGGCAGGATGCAGGGAACCTTTAAGAGGTGGGCCTTGTGGGCAGTGACAGGGTCGTAGAGAGCTCTGTGCCCAGAAGGGGCTGAAGCAGTTTTTGCGGGGCCTTGGCGAGCTCTTGAGAGAGGGTCCACATCGCCCCTGGATTCCTGTCTCCCCACATGGCCTTGCCCTGTCACAGGCAAGATCACTGCATCCTGCCACTGTGATGCCACCCACCAGGGGGGCCTCAGCAGGGCCACATGGTAGCTTGCACCATGCCCTCTCTTCAGAGTGTGAGCTAAGCAAACCCCTTTTTACCAAAGCACTCAGTCTACTTCTTTATAGAAAAAAAAGAGAGAAAAGAAAGACATGTCTAAAACATCCCCCAAGCCTCTTTATCGTCTAACCCAGACAGCCTTATTTATTATGTCCTAGATAACCCAAGTTTGCTCTCATTTTGCTTCACCTTATATCAGAAGACCTGAGCCTGATCATTTCCCCTCTCTTCTAAATCCTACACATCTGAAACAATCTAGGCCCATTTCCTGGGCTACACCCCCTAGCCCTCAGTTCTTGGGGGCCCCTTAACCTCCCTCCTGTTCTACATTACTACAATACCCACCCTAACACTCACAGTTAAATATATGCCTACATTTCGTTTAATTCAACAAACACATGTATTTGCTGGGTATTAATTATGTGCCAATCCTTTTATGAGGTGCTGCAGAGAAAGAGATGAACAAATTTAGGTTCAGACAAGAGCTTTTACTCTAGTAGAAAGAAGCCAACATGGAAAACAGATCATTTAAGTGTAATTCAGTAAAGAGAGAGAGATTTTTCACAGCTCAGGAAGGAGCACAAGCTGTACCCAAATAGCCAGGGCTTCCTGGAGAAATGCTGCCCGAAATGAGTCTTTAAAGATGAGGAACACTTCACTGAAGACAGTAGGAGGATGAGGGCACCTCAGGCGAGGGAACAATGTGGAGAAGGATCCAGAGGTCTTAAGTCTCCGGAGCTATGCAGGCTGGAACAGCAGGCAATGCTGGAAAATAACAGTGAGAAGTCAGGAAGAGCTGCTGCGGATGCATATGAAAGAGTCCTGCTTCCCGGGACACAGAATTTGGGACTCACCCAGCAGGCAGGAACAAGTAATGCAAAGGTTTTAGGTTTGGGAATAACCTAGTGAATTTGATTTTAGATTTGAATATTTTCTATACTGAGGTCCACCCAGCTTTGTCCATGTATTTTCATTATAGGTTTATTTTTTTCTGTTAGGTGATATTTGAAAGCAATTCTTTTTAAACTTCTTTACATACATCACAATTTAGAATATGTAAAGATGAGAATGCTACAAATATATGCGCTGTGCAAAGTCATCCTTCCTGATTTTCTGTAACTTTTTGAGACAGCAACAATAGTATTATGTGAAAAAGTACTAGACACAACAAATGATGAATGGAAGCAAATACCATAAAAAATTTATGCACCAAAACATTTGGAAGAGAGCAAAAGTAGCTCTCAGCAGAACTTGGAGTTGTAAATACTTGTATTTAAGAAAAGCCAGAATGATCTCAAATCAGTCACTTAAATTTATAACTTAAAGAAATAAAGGCAAACCAAACTAACTAAACTTAAAGCCAGGAGAAGGAAAGAAATAATGAAGACTATAGCGAAGAAAAATTGAAACAAAAAAAATAGAAAAACAGTAATTAAAATTAATTGACCCAAATATTAGGTTGGGGAAGACATCAAAAAAACTTAGCTAAATTTTTTAGTTAGGTTGACTAAGGAAAAAGGACACCTGAGTTACTAAAATCAGGAACAAAAGACAGGACATTATTATTGAACTTACAAACATAAAGAAAACTATAAAAGAATCCTAAACAATTTTATAACACATTATATAACCTAGATGAAAGAGAAAAACGCCTAAAAGGAAAGAAAAAACTACTAAAAGTGACTCAAGAAGAAACAGAAAGTTTAGATAGACCACAGCACCAAGGCAGCGAGGGATATACACACCTGGACACAGCACTCCTCATCCCATCATCAGGAGTGCAGGATCCTGGGTGAGTACTGACCAGAGTGTCAGCCCCAGGCTGTGTCGTCTTTGGAGCTGGAAAGTGCACCAGCAGGATCCAGGGTCAGCCTGGCTGCAGGAGGTTGGTTCCCCATGCAGCTGGCTACACTTTGGGGCCCAGAGGAGAAGGGAAACAAAAGGCCTTTGGAAATGACTGACCCCTGGGCATTCTGGAGGCAATCCTTTCCTCAGGCTGACTGATCCTCAGGAAAGAGCTCCATGAAAGGCCCTGTAACTTCTAATTTTCCTCATGCAAGTTAGGTTAATGAAACTCTGTGGTGTGTGACATATACGCTCTCTTTATGAAGATGATAACCCAAAGTCATATTTGACTCAAATGTAAAAATTAGTTATTCAATTGGCATTTGCTGAATACCATCTTCATGAGAAGTATTATTTTTTTATTTTTTGTAGTAAAGCTAATTTTATTTATTTTTTATTAATACATGTTTGCTAGGCATAGTGGTTACATTCATTGTGCAAAGTTGGTACAGGGACTTAACACATCTTAGTTATTTTTACTTTCTGTTCCCCTCCTCTCCCTCCCCCTCCACCTCTAGATCCCCTTTCCATTTGAAAGAGATCTATCTCCCTGTTTCCTACTATATATCTTTTATTTTGATCTTTAAATTATTTATTCTTTGGGTTTCTCATATAAGAGAAACAATGCAGTATTTAAGCTTGTGTGTCTGATTTATTTCAGTTAACGTTATAATCTCCAGGGGCACCCATTTTCCTACAAATGACTCGTTTATCCTTCACAGTAGTACTCCCCTGTATAAACATCACATTTTTCTTTACCCATTCACCTGTTGATGGATGTACAGCCTGCTCTCAAGAGAAACGTTAAGTGTAAGAGGCTGAATTTGAGAGATGGACATCAAGAATGATTGCGTTAGTGTTTGTCTTATTTACTTTTCTCTTTGCTGAGACAAATACCTGACACCCAAAGTTAAAGGAAAAAAAGTCTTATTTAACTCACAGTTTGTAGAGGTTTAGTCCATAATCATCTGGCTCCGGGGCAGGGTGACATGGCAGAGGGGCATCAGAGAAGAGAAATGATTCATGCTGGGCAGAAAGAGGCAAAGCATGCTAGGGACAAGACAAGCATTTTTCTGTCCCTTATATTGTACCAGGCTACTGGGATTAGGGAGCTGCCAGACCAACCAGTGCGCTGGTTTAGGAATCACCCACCCTTAATCCCAGCACCTTGAATTCTAGGGCTGCACCATGAGTGAATCACACACTGCAGACTCAGGTACCTCTGAAAAAGCCCCACCTGTGACTGTGTGAGGCTTTGGGCGACATTTACACACAAGCCATAACAGTGTTACTATTTTTTATTGCTATCACCAGAAAAATGAAGTATGCTTAAAAATAACAACAGTATTTTTTATTCTTGAGCACAAAACCCTAATAATCTAGTGAGAAGGGGGAAGACACAGACATCTTGTGACCTAGTTATATATAGGAAAGACAATCACAAAGTCTTCAGAAGATGGAGAATAATTTCACTTTTTAAAAGAACTATGTGAAGCAAATTAAAGTTCCACAATTCATTAAATATACCTTTACTTGCATTTTACAGATTAACATTTAATGAAATGTTTATTTAACATTGTTAAAATAATTTTCATGTATATTTTTATTTTCTATATTCATCAACAAATGTAACTGTAGTTACATAAAACTAAAGAGCTCTATATTTCACAAAAATGTTTGGCATGTGATTTATCTTTATCACATTAAAAAATTCCAAGGTACAATATTGGAGGGGGGCATAGATCCTTTCATGTAGCAATGAAGACTGTATATATCATTCTATTTCCCCAAGCTCCAAAAATTGGTATAGTCAAAACAAAGTTGTTTGGTATAGGACTTATTTTAAATTATATATATAAATCTTAAATTCTGTTTTTCAGGTTTAGAAGATGAAAAACTGAAGTTTACATCAATACATCTGTCAAAAGATGGATACCACAGTCTAAACTAGAGAAGGAGTGAAGTTAACTTGCCCCTAATTCCGTCATACATAACTAAATCCATTTTTTCACTAAAAAAAAAAATCAGTGAAATGTGAGGACACATCAAAGCTGAAGTTTAATAGGTGTTTCTGAGCCATAGAAATGAATCTACTGTGTACATGTCTAAGTTTGCTTCAAGGTGAGGATACAGATTTGTAATTGATAAGTCTACCTCTTCTGACTCTGATTTTCCAATATGTGTTTAGCTCATAGTTTAATGAAATTTGTAAGTATTACAGGTTTTCTCATTACCTTTCATCCAATTTTAATGAGGAATATTAAGTATGGAAAGAAGGAGAAAGTCACATCACGTGCATGTGTGTGTATGTGTTTTCATGGAAATATGGGTAGAAAACTTGAAGAATTAAATCTACCCTAAATATAGAAGGTCCCAGAAATCACATATTTGTAAAAGACTTAATTTAGGCAATCCAAGTGTTTTCCTTGAAATTCTGTTACATTAACCTCAACTGTTAAAAATGTCCGGTGTGGTAGTCAATTTGTTTTCCTCTGTTCGTACATTCTTTTAGTAATATGTCCACTGTTCAAAGACACAAAGTAAAAAATCTGTGCTCTGGGGACATATATGTTACACAAGCTAGCTTTCCAGAGGTAGATCAATACATTTCTAGGTGCAACAAAGAAAAAGAAGCAACTCCATCTCCCCCAACACTTCATTCCCCACAGTGATTAACATGCTGCTTTATACTAGGTGCTGTTGATTGCATTTAGCTGAGGTAAGATGCTCACCTCAGGGCAAATAAGATGTAAAGCAACACAGGAAGAAGCGGAGTCTTAGTATCCCATCCTAGCCACTCCTCCAGTGATCTCACTTCCTCTAGTTAGGCCCCTCCTCTTAAAGGTTGCATCACCTCCCAGTAGTGTCATGGCTGCCAGCAAAGCGTTTATTTAATGTGAGTCTTTGGGAGACGTTTGAAATCCACACTAAAGCAGCACCTTTGGTTCTATTTCTAACACACCTGTAGATGTCTGCCTGCTGGGGGCCTTGTTTATCCTCCTATGAAGTTGAGTGGTGTTGGTAAAACCTACCACTTGGAACCCGAAACAAACAGGAAGCAAACCCACTCTCCTACACCCATATACCACTTCCCAAGCCCCAGAACCTGGTATAAACCCACTGGGTACTGTGGAGGGAGGACCTGATGGGAGAAGGCCGGGCACCAGCATGCATCAGCCACATGACCTACACCTGTGAAGCTGACAAGCTTTGGAACCAAATGAGATGATTTTTTTTCTATCCACAGAATAAGCAGGATAGTCATCTTCTCCAGATAAGCTTACATTGTTCTGGAAGTAAAATGTTTCTGTCCCAGTAGACTGAAAACTGAAATCCTCTTCTAGCCCAGAGGTGTGCTGAATATGAAGATTCTCTGAGACAAATTCCCACCCAAGGGAGCTGACGTTATATTTACTACACAGACCAGGAGGCAAATTTTAACATAGTTCCCATCACCCCAGAGCTTTCTCGGTAAAGCTGGTATGTTTAGTGTTGTTCAAAATTTTTTAAGACTCCATTTAGAAGTCAGCCTAGTTTCTCCTCTGATATCATGCAGTGCCAAATCATAATTTGTGAATCAATAATTTGTTCACATGCTATTTTAGGTTCTCTTGCTTGAAACAAGAATTTATTTTATTTTATTCTAATACCTCTCTCATTCTTGCTGTTCAGGTCCTTCTGAAGCTGTTTGTATTGCATGTCCCAATTTAACACTGGGGAAATGAGACTGATGCCACAACAGAAAATTATGGAGATTAATCTCCCTTTGGGGATGGATTTAGAAGAAGTAGCCATTGGAAAAGCCTTACACAAGAAAATAAAGGATAGCAAATGACACAAATGTTAGCAGTAAATTAACAGTAAATAAGGTATAAAGGGACAAATAGAGACAATTAAAGGAGAGCTAGTATAAAATAATCCTGCTAGAGTTCTACAAGGGTAATCCACAGATTATCAAAGTCAGTGTGGGATATGAATATGAATGTAGGTTTTCAGAAAACACCAGTGCCCTGCTGACGTGCTCCGGGGCCTGTGTGGCCTCTGATGACCATGGCGAGCAGCAGTAGAAGTCGCTGCCTCACTGGCTCATTCCCTGTGTGGAGCCCGTTGCCCCGCCCTGTGTGTGTCCCCTGGAAACGCCTGGGATGCGTTCTTAAAATCACATAAATCAAGAACTTACTAATGTACTGAAACACTCCTTGGGAAAAATGTTAAGTCCAAACATGCAAATATGCCCTTATTCATCCACACTGTCACAGACTTTACTTTGAGTATGACCGTCATTCTTTGTTTTAATTAGACTAACCACACTCACGATATCTCATTTCTGGTTATCGATCTGTGATTTCTTATGGGAAGTGAAAATGTGGAAGGTTTTTGCAAAGCAAGTCGGGTGCAGAATCTTTCTAGACTGCTGTACCTTTCCCCTTACCTTGACATTAGCCTCGTCCATTCAGTGGTCTTACCCAGGTCTTCAAAAACATTCAACTGATTTTTCACAGAAATAAGTCTCCTGGCACATGGCTTTTCCAAAGGTTGTATCAGGTTTCATTATTGCTCAGTTTAAGCTGGAACGTCCCTCACAGGCCAAGTGATGAGGGGTGTCCTCTGTCCACGGTGCTACTGGGATGTGGCAGAGCTTTAGGAGAGGGACCTAATGGGACCCTTGAGGTGGACTGTGGACCCCTGGTCTCTTCCTCTTTTCCTTTTCTTCCTGGCCATGAATGAACAGACTTCCTCAACCACACTTCCCACATAACATTATGCAATGCCACAGACCCAAAACAATGGTACAGTTAACCAGGGACTGAACCCTCCAAATTGTGAGCCAAAATAAACCTTTCCTCCTCATCAGTTGACTAGTGCAGGTATTTTTGTGTGATAACAGAAAGCCAACCAACATGATCACATTGCACAATTAAAGTGGCATGTATAATAAACATCCAGGCCTGAGGCCAGACAAGGCTCAGTGGCTGAATGCAGCCCCGGTGGCTTGCAGCTGTGTGTATCACAGAAGAGATGAAGAAGCCAACAGACTGTAGCGGCGGGCAAGGGCACCCAGGGAAACAAGGAAAGGGTCACAGAGCAGCCTAATATTCAACAATACTAAGAATGGAATTTCTTGCTCGCTTTTTTATTTGTTCATTTATACAATCTTCAGAGCTATTTAAGTTTGGAACAAGAAAAACTACATTTTCTTATTATTTATCAGTATATGTGATACATAATAATTACATTCATCCTGGTATATACACATATCACATCATTTTTGTACCATAAGAGAGCATAGAGATTCAAGAAATTAATAGCACAGTTACCCCTAAACGGACTCTCTGAGTTTTCAAGCTAATTTCTCACAGAAAAGCACTGTTGTTGAGAGAAGAGACACAGTTACTACATCCTCGATAAGTGTCACAGCCAGGTCAAAGACAACACAGGACACAGGTGACAGTCCTGCTCCAATGCCATCAGCCTGAGGCAGTACCACTACTCTTTTCCCTCACCATGTACTGTCACTGTATTAGCATCCATGTGCTAAAGTGTGTAGCTAATCTGCCCGACCATCTGCTCTTGAGGAGGCCATGTCTTTCCCGCTCTCGGTACCACCAAGCACCTCCGGTAGGTGCCTGTCTGTTGTGAACCTGGAAAATGTGCTTACAAACTTGAATGTAGAAACTTTCTATGCGAAGATTACAGCTCTTCTATCCAACCTTTGCCCACACTCTCAGGCTCCTATTGCTTCTTAATTCTTGTATGAGGACAAAGGATGTAGCATAAGGAATGGTTCGCAGTGGAAGTTGGTTTGGTACCTTGCATTTACGAGCCTTTTCCTCGCGGATGACCGAAGGAGTCTCTGAAGTACAGTTAGAGAATGGGACAGGTTCTGTGGCCTCCAGTGACTCTCTGGAGATAAGTGACCCTCATCTTGCCCACACTGTAAACCAGTTTAAACCATGCTGAAGTTTTTATAAGTTTTCATTTGCATCTGAAAGAAAATTTGAGAAATAAATGAGGACATCATTCTCACTTGAAGCAAGTGACTTAAGGCCTTCCACTCTTAGACTGGCTTCAAAGGACCATCCATATATAGCACAAGACAAGACCTGCCTCGGGGAATGCAGAATCCGGACTTCTGTCATATGTCACTTCTTAAACTGCCTTGCAAATTGGAGCAAATCAAGGTGTTCTTCTTATTTTCCACTTTACTTTACCTCGACTCTCATTTTATTAAAAGCATGACATATAAGATATAGCTATCAACTTAGTCAAGTTTTCTTATATATGAGAAAGTTTGCTGAGTGCTTGAGAAGGTGGAGGAGTTATTACAATGAAAGGGACATTGAGATTTATTCTGAGTTCTGTGTGTACGGTTCTGCGGGTATATTATAAATCGCAGTTTCTTCTTTGCAAATAACATCTTTCTCGTATTTCCAATAAATCTCTATCTCTTCACTTCTTCCATATGGATGATGGATAATGGTTTCATTCCAAATTGTAAACTTCGAAGGTGTATGCATGTACAACAAGACTCTAAATGCTAAGTTTTTATCTTTCCATAGCCCCTCATCTAGCCTCCTAGGGCACTGCTGCTGCTTCGGTACTAACTTTAACTCATAAATTCCTAATAAACTTAATTTATCCTCCTTCTTCATGAAACTCACTTTTTATTAGTATCCCAAGCAGAAGAAACTAGAAACGAAAATCCTACAACTAAAATACAGCTCATGCCCCTCACTTTTCCTCCTGCTGAGTGTAAGTAAACATTCCTAAACCCACCCCTCTCTTTCACACCATGGCCAAGTCTCGGCCCTTCTCTGAGCACCCGCTGATCCCGCTTTGTCAGTACTCGAGTGGACATGTTCATTTCCTATCTTCCACTGCCCGAGAGCTCTCACCTGGGCAATCCAAATTCACTGCACAAAAAGCCAGGCTCCTTGCACAAGAATCTGTACTTCTTCTTGGCCTTTGTCTTGGTTAATGATCCTGAAGCCGCCTTCCTTTGATATCTGTGGAAGTGATTCAGGACAAAGCTGCAGAATTTGAAACTGCAGTGTTGGAGTATTGACCTATAACCAACCACATCCCCCCGTATTCTTAAAACCGTCATTAGATGATTGACGGCACCTAACTCAATGCAAATCGTATATACATAGATATTATATTATCATTTAGGGAATAATGACAAGAAAGAATTCCATACATTTTTAGTGCAGACACAATTTTTGTTACTATTTTCTGTCCACAGTTGGTTGAATCTGCTGCTGAGGAGCCCAGACCTGATGCTCCGCTTCCTCCCCCGCTGGCCTGCGCTAATGGCCTGTGAGGAGGCTGCCAGCGGCTGGTGAAATGATGAAAGCGGCAGGAGAGAACTGAGTGCTTGGAGTGGGGACCAAGCACTGTGCGTTCAGTTGCCGCCTTCTCCTCTGACCTCCACGCTCCCTCCAGAAGACCAAGCCTCCCCTGCCTTGTCCCAGTGACTCCACGCTGTGCTCAAAGGAAAGGTTGCGTGTGGCTCTGCCCTCACCCCCACACCCGCCCCACCCAGCTCCCCTTCACCCTGGCCTGGCCGATGGGACACACATTCTTCCCTCCAGCTCTGTTGCCCTTTGCTCCTCTCTCTCATACTTGTCCCTCTTTAGAATATGCTTCTCCCCTCTCTGTCTCTGTCTCCATTTCTCTCTCCTCCCTCCCTCATGCTGCCTTGTCTCCCTCCAGCCTCCCTCCGCCCCTCCCTCCGACCTTCACCACCCAGCTCAACACTCACCTGTGTCAGGCGTTCTCTGAGGAATCTGCGCACTCACATACACGGATAACTGACTGGCTTCTCCTCCGGCTTCCACAGCACTCTGTCCATGCCGGCCAGCAGAGCTTTGATCACTGCGAACGGGGAGACTTCTTGTCACCGGGAAAGAGCTCACCCCACCACTCAGCAGGGGCATGGTGGTGGCTAGTGAATGCCTACTGAGTGGGCAGAATTCTGAAAGATGAATGAATGCAGTGTTACTTATAGACAGCAGTTGTTTCAGTGGAGCTGATTTGGGAGTTATTCATAAGTGTGTGTCACACCCAGTCCTCTCCCTTCGCTCCCATGTCCTCAGCAGGAAGCCACTGCTGGGGGAGATGAGCCATGGCCCCACCCTGTGGAAGACAGCGACACGTGTCAGGTGGATGCATGACAGGTAAAAAGTTCCGCATAAATGACACTAAAGAAATCATGAACAAGTCATAGATTCATCTAAAACAATCCCCAGTCCTTTCCACAAACCCACAGATACTTTTTTTCTGGTGTTTGGTATCAAACCCAAGACCTTGCCCATGTTAGGCAAGCGCTTTACAGCAGAGTCCAACCCCAGCTTCTTCACTGATACCATATTTTTAACCACCTCACAGTTTCATGGCAACCTAGCTCTATTTCACAAACTAATATTTAGGAGACGGTGCCTATGTGCTCAGAAACATTTCCCAGATAAAGGATGAAGCAATGAAAAAAATATTCATGGAAGAAGGCTACTAAAGACCAGATTTATGGCGTTTAAATACAAGATGGGATTTGATCAATGGAATGAAGAACAGAGAAAGTACTGCAGGTAGGAGAAGCTTTTTCATACAGATGTGGAGGTAGAAAGAAGCACTGGTGTTGTGGCGTAGATCTAAAATACCCCCCACCGCCTCGTGTGTTTAGAGGCTTCTACCCTTACTGGGTTATGGAAGCTTGGGCTTGGGAGGCGGGGCGTGGCAAAGGAGCAGGTCAGTGGGGCGTGGCCTGGCAGGTGGTCCCTGGGGCTGCAGCCTGGAAGGTTTCTGTGCCAGCCCCCTCCCCTGGCCCTCCCTTCAGGTTCTCTGGTTCCAGTCAGCCAAGCCCTGAGCAACTCTCCACGCTCCTTTGCCAGGCTGTTCCTTCTTTGGAGCTGCCAGCCTGGGACTGAAATGTGGACTAAAATAAACTCCTTTAAGGTGCCAGTGGTCCAGTATTTTGTCCCACAGGGAGGAAGGCAAGTAAGACAAGTGGGCGTGAAAGGACCGGAGAGTTAGTTCAGTGATTGTCTGAGGGAAAATCAGCTAATGAAGATATGGTTGGAATTGTTCAACTGGAGCCGTATTTCTTAGACAAGCAAGGTAATTAATGGTGTCTAAGGAGTGGGGAGATGGACGAAGATGGTATTTAGGGAGTTTCCAAGCTGTGTATTGGAAACTCCAGTGTAGAAAGCACAAAAATTTTACTGCAAATGAGACATGAGGTAACGGTAGCCAGATCAGAGCGGTGACCATGAGCGGACGGCAGGAAGTGGGAACGGCAAGAGGATCAAGCAAGGGAAGAAACGCGCAAGATGCTGGCCGCCTGGCCGAATCAGCGGGGGAAGGAAATCAGGGCTCGCTGGGTCAGGATGAGTCTGCTGTCAGCCAGAGTTTGCTCAAGAGGGGAGCCCGGGGCAGGTGGGAAGCGCAAGTTTGATCTGTGGTTATTTTGAGTCTACTGAGGAAGTGCAGGACTAGAGCTTTCAAGAGAAGAACGTGCTGAAAATAGCAAAGTTTGAATCGTGTTGGTACAAACAATAGCTAAGGCTGGGAGGCAGCTGGTTTGAGGTTTCTGTGGAAGACACAGGGACAGAGGGGATAGATCATCAAAGAGAGCAGTTAGGAGGGTAAGAAGAGGTAAAGAAGAACGCCCAAAGTGCTAACATGGGGCTGGGGTGTAGCTCAGTGCCGAGCGTTTGCCTAGCATGTGCTGGGCCCTAGGTTCAATCTTCAGCACTCAGAAAAAAAATGCTAGTGTGACCACAAACCACGAATGGAAGACACTTCCAGAATCAGGCTGAATCCTGAGTACAAATAAGAAAAACTAGTAACAGCACGGAAAAGTTCATGAGAGTTGGGAATATGCGTCCCAAATGATCTTAGCTTCTACAGACAGGGGTCGGATGAGAGGGTGGGCCATACGGGGGTTAGGAATGAGGGGATTCCTTCTGGAAAAAGCAAAAGACAAACCCACCCACTGGAGGTTGGACCCAGGTTTATCCGGAAGGCAAATCAGCTGTAGTGAGACGCAGAGCAAGGAGCGTGCTCCGGGCAGGGAGGACAGGTGGAATGTGGGCTCTGCAGAACAGGGGGGCCTTGCAGTTGCTCTGTGAGAAGACACGAAGCACTGTGAGAAGGCCTGCGCTGGAGACCTCGCGGAGCGGCGGCGCTCACCATCTCCCCCTCTCTGTGACTGCACTGGAGGGTGTGCGCCTCACAGCCTCCGAGGAGCTCGCGCTGGAACTCCTGCTGCCAACACAGAGGCAAACTCCATTTAGCATACAGGACAGCTCAGTGGAATTTGTTGCTGCCTGCTTTTGCTTCCTCCCTCCCTCTATTTCTTTTTCTTTTCTTCTTCCTTCCCTCCCTCCCTCTCTTCCTTTCTTCTCTCCTCTTTCCTTCCTGCCCACCAACAGTAGTCCCAAAGCCCTAGCTATAACCCCTCTGACCAAAGACAAAGTCTCCAGCTCTCAGGGACAACAGGCACCCGCATGATCAGCACAGGAGGCTCCAGCAAAGGAACTGTTCTGTCAAATCAAAGGCGAATCTGAGCCCGCTAAGGAGAGGCTTTATTTGCAAGGCTGTTGCAAGGGGAGATGGTTCCTGCAGCAGGGGACGCTGTGACCATCACGTCTGCAAGTGCCTCCTAGGGCAGGCAAAGGCTCTGCTTTTACACAGAGAACCCAGCGTGGGGTAGGAGGATGGAGAAGCGATGTGCTCAGACGCAGTCAGGGAGGGCTTGAGGTCAGCCTGCTCTCAGAAAGGCACTGGAGAAGGGGTCAGGGGAGGGAGAGGAACTGCCTGGCTCTGCTCAGCAAGCAGGGCGGTCTCACTGGCCAAGGAGCAAACAGCTCAGCTCCTCATCCTCACAGCACAGAATGGGGGTCTGAGGGTCTGCCCAGCTTTGTCACAAAGCGCAGAGTCCCCAAGTCCCACAGGAAGGTGTCCTCTGCAGCAGACTCATGGGAACGAGGTGGAGCTGGAACCTTGCTGCGCTCCAGGACCACAGGGCTCCAGCGGAGCTCAGCACTGTGACTCCCCAGCCTGCACACCCGAGTGTGCAACCCTTCAGCCAGGCGACCCTGCCCTGTGGTCATCTGCGCCAGGTGTTGTCATTGGCAAATGTGGTCTGACAGCTGTGGACAAGGAAGTTTCCTGAGTTCTCTGAATCACTTAGCTTCTCGAGTCCCTTCCATTGCCTGAAAAGAAGCTAAGAGCTGGAGGGGACATGCAGCAGCGGTGATATTTGTATACTCAACCGCACAGCCCAGCTCAGGAGAGAAGCAGTGCATCCCTGTGTGAGCTTCAGACCTCACGCTCCTTGCGGGAGGAAGGTAGCACAGACCACAGAGGGGAAAGGTAGCAGGGGCAGGGCTGCTTGCATCCAGCTGTGCTCCTGCCCTCTGCCACCAAGGCACCTCTGATCTCCCTGCACCGTGGTTTCTTCATCTGTAAAAGGGTAAAAACAGCCTGAATTGCTTAGAGTTATTGTGAGGTTAAGCGAATTATTCCAGAGAAGCCTTGAGATCTGGTGGTACATCAGAGACCAAGCAGTAGCAGCAGAGGTGTGGCACCAGCAAGGACCTCTTATTTAGGGCTCCAACACATCCTCCACCTTCCTGGGGAGCTTGAACTGATTGCTCCTGTGTCTGTCCATAAACTTCAGGAGGACCATAAACTTCAGGAGGAACAGGGACCATGATACTCAGATAAACAGCAGTATCTCAGAGCCTGTTACTGGCCCTGGAACCTCATAAGTGATAGAAATGTATCTGCTGAATATATGCTAGTGTGTGCGTGTGTGGATGGATGGATGGATGGGTGTGTGGATGGATGGATGGATGGATGGTGGATAGGTGGGTGGATGGATGGATGAGTGGATGGGTGGGTGGGTGGATGGGTAGATGGATGGATGGATGGGTGGATGGATGGATGGATAGATGGATGGATAGATGGGTGGATGTGTGGATGGGTGGGTGGATGGATGGATGGATGGATGGGTGGATGGGTGGATGGATGGATGGATGGGTGGATGGATGGATGGATAGATGGATGGATATATGGGTGGATGTGTGGATGGGTGTGTGGATGGATGGATGAGTGGATGGGTGGGTGGGTGGATGGGTAGATGGATGGATGGATGGGTGGATGGATGGATGGATAGATGGATGGATATATGGGTGGATGTGTGGATGGGTGGGTGGATGGATGGATGGATGGACAGATGGATGGATGGATGGATGGATGGATACAGAGGGAGAAAGGGATGAACAGAAGGGAGAAGGGAGCAGGGTAGAGTGGTACAAGGAAATGGATGGAAGGAGGTATGCACAGAGAGAGGGGGAGATGTGCTGTAAGCCTATTTTCTTAAAATATGTGCAAATGACCATAAACATGATTACCATTTACTATAAGATATATTTTGCAGAAGGGGAAAGGCAAAATGCTTTGCCATGGGGTTTGGCCTGTACACTGTCCCAATTTCTGGATGCAGTTTCTCGCTCTCGGCTAGGTGTCCAGGTGTTCAGATTCAGCACACAGTGGGGCTGAGGCCCTCCTCTCTGTTACCCCCAACATAACGCCTTAGTTTCACCCTTGGTGCTCATGTGATGAAACATTTCCTTGGCCGCCTTTGTGCTTCTCCTGGCTTGCTTCTTGGCAGCGTGCGGTTTCCCGGGAACGCATCGCACTGCAGTGTAGGCCATGGGACAGCTTGTCTTTCACCTTTCAGTAAATTCCTGCTTAATGGCTTCCAATAACATTTTGCTTCAGTGATTATTCTGAATAATACTGAATACTGTTTTCCACAACTGAATTGAGATGATTTGCCTTTTCAATTGACAAATTGTACCAGATAAGTGCCACCTATTACCATGTGAATGATTAAGATCCTAAAATGATTTGATCAACTGTGTCCTGCTTGTGGCTAATTTGGAATTTGTCTGACTTGCTTTGTACCCTGCAGTCAGATCCATCTTTCCTGCTGCCCCAAGGGGCCTTTTCTCTACCTTTTGTAAAAGGTTTGTGGGACCTCCATCTCTGACGTTCCCAGCAAAAATGAGCTGGAGTGGCTGTGCTGGGAGTGCCGGGCTCACCCTGGGAAGCTGTCCCTCCTCACTGAA